CCTTGAACCTAACAACTGAACCTGTTATATATGATTTTAAATGACCTCCTATACTTGCTCATCCTCGATTTTAGAGCCAACTCTTTCCATAGAACTGAAGAAACTTTCTTACTAAACTTACATTAGGGGGTAGGGATGGAGATGATCTAGTTGGTCCCCTCAAGTATGGTAATCCCTTGAATTTTGCAGGTCATTTTCTTGTTATCATTTAGGGGTACTTCAACATTGATGCTGTCATATCCGTAAAAACGTTTGCTCATGTGCTATTAGGTCCTTGGGGGCAGGAGGACCTTCGAAGCATGATACAATAAGTAAATAATTTAATTTTAAGCTAATTTAAATCAACATGTCGTCAGCATGTGGCTGTTCCCTTTTTTGATTAATCACGTGTCTTTGTTGTCAGCCGTGTCTCTCCACGTCCTTGCTTTATTGGGATGTACTAATTGTGCATTCTTCAAAGAAGAAAGGAAAACAACTAGATCTCTGAAATTGATCAACTACAGCTCAACGACCAAGAAATATGGATAATAAATGAGAAGAATATTGGAAGTAGAGAAACAGAGGAGATCGTGAACCCAGTTGGAAGCCTACAGAATTCTTGCTGTTTAGTAGTACTTATTGATTTGAAGTAGTTGGTTGTCGATATAATGCAGTGGAAATAATTGACGTTTCACTTCATTTGAGCATCAGTTGCATGTATAATTTTCTATCATAAAAATCTTTATGGGTAAAGAACAACAAAAACTTTCCTGTTAAAGATTGAAATTTTTGATTTGTGATTGAGATGTAAACTTTTACCGTTTTGCTGCCATCCTCATCTTGAAAAGAAAATTCAGCTAATTTGAATATCAACATGTCCTCAACATGTTGCTGTCCCCGTTTTTGATTCTGCCATCCTTATCTTGAAAAGAAAATTCAGCTAGATCAATTTTTGTGTTCCTGAATTCGAAGAACTAGGGTAAAGACAAGTAAGCTAGAATTAATGCTGCATTTCCTTCAAGAACGAGCATGAGCATGGTTTATCTTGAAATTTTTACTGGAAGTTTATTGCGTTTCGGAGTTCAAAGAACTTGTATAAAAAACTAATTGAGTTAGAATTCTTTTAAATCGTGCTCTTCTGTGGAGCTTCGGTTGCCGTTTACCCATTTTTGTAATGTTCACCTGTTCTATCTGGCGCTTTTTATCTAATTTTGTAAGAAAAAAAAAAAAATTACACATGAAATTTTTTTTTTACATAAATTTTTTTTTCCCCAAGTAAAAAAATTTTTTTTTGGGGGGGAAGGTGGGGCTGTAGCCTCCCCTAAATCCATCCCTGTGATCAAGTGTTTTTGCCGTAGTCTGTGGTTTTTGTCGCCCCAAAAATATGTTAGCATGTAAAATGGTTGTTCGTTAAATTGGAAAGTTGGAATGTATAGTATGTTCGCTTAGTAAAACGAGTTTTCATCGCTTATGTATATTCTTTTTGGTGGAAATGTAGTACAAATGATTGTGTTATGTTAAAACTAACATATTTCGTTATGGAACCGAGGATTCTATGGAGTTTCATATAGTATTTGTTTTTTTCAGTTCTTTAATGTTGTTTATACTGTGATATGTTGTAGCTAAAAGTTATACTAAACTTTTACCCTATTTTTGACAAAGCTTTAAAAGGTTATAAGTCAGTGAATTTCATGAAATATGTAGTTTAAAAGTGTATAAAAGTTGTGAGTTCAATAAATTATGTGATAAAAAATTGAAGTTTGATGAGCTTATAATTTCAAAAAAGCTTTATCAAATGGGCTTCTGTATATTTTAACATTCGAAAAAGGATAAAGTATGGTTAGACGTAAATGTTAAGTTTCAAGATTAATGAGCTTAAGCAAAACCTAAGGGAAAAAAAATCATTTTATTTTTCATTTTTAATATTATTTTAAATTTTTACTCATTCTAAAAATTATTTAATAATTAAAATAATATGTACTAAACATCTTAATATAAAACACTATATTTACTTAATAATTTCTACCGTTAGTTAATTATACAGTTTTGAAGTATTCGAAATGGATAGACTATTTTTATTTTTTATTTTTTTATTTTCAACTTTCAACTTTCAAATTACACAAGTCCTACTTAATACATTTATAAGAAATTCATACATATTTTTGAAACTTCCAACAAAATAATAAGTTTCAAATTTTTTTTTTTTTTTTTTTTTTTTTGTAAATAAAGTCAAATAAAATACATTTAAAAAAACAAAAAAAATAAAATTAATGATGCACAACTAGACACCAGTTTGAAGCACTAAACATGTCACAAAGCGTAAGACATCAAATATATGGTAAACTTCATTTTCAATTAGATCGTCCAACATTAATTTCTCGCACAAATTACTCAAATTCAGTTTATTCTCAATGTTAATCACCTAGTCACAAAGTTCGAGAAAATTTAATCGACACACGTCGAACTTCAATGCTCACTCATCTTGTCTTATAATTATTCATCCACCACTCATTTAACTCTCATCCCTTCAAATAGATGGAAAAATACACGCCGAGAAAAAAAAAAAATCACAGGGGCCAAATATATTCAATTAAATCTTTACAGCTTGGAATATCAAGATCAACAATTACACTTTGATCAATCGATACCTATAGATAGCAAAAAAATTCCTCATAATGGTGAAGAAGAACTGAACATATGAAAATGGAAACTGTATAAACTCAGACTGACTTTGCCGGACACGTTTGGTATCTTACCGAGGATGCAGGAATTGAAATTGGTATCGATTTTGGATGTGGAACCCACATCTTACTAATTGGAATTTCTAGTTTGGGAGTTTGGAATTAGGGCTCACATTGGGTTCTTCTGATTTTGGAATTCTGATATGGGGTTAATCAAAGGCGTGAAACAGGAAGGGAGTCTTACTTTTGTTGGTGTGATTTTGGTAACTTGGACATTTTTAACGAGTGAATGGGTCATGTGGGATTGTCGTTTGCCACGTGCAATTTTCCATCCGCAATTTTGAAATGTTACTTAACAGGTGACGGATCAATAATAATATGAAAAAATAAATGAGCATTCAGTAATCTATTAAAGATGAGTGAGTAAATAGTAACAAAGTCAAAGTTTAATGATTATTGATTAAATTTAGGTCCGTGTTTGACTTTCATTTTTTTAAACTCATTTTTAACAATATATTTCATGATATTCATAACTTTTGTCGACTTTTCAATCAAAATATCATCAACTTCTATTAAAATCTAATATCAAAACCGAATAGGGGCTAAACCCATATATAAATATGCCACAATGTGCAAATTTTTAACATAGGGGGATGAATTACCATTTTTTGAACGCTATTTGTTTTCAAGTTTTTCAGCCATGACATCAATAAATTACAAAATTGGCTGAAAATGCAAAATATACTAGATTGTTAATTTTTGACGTTCACATACTATTGTGACATCAAAATTTGGAAATATGAGCTAACATAATGACTAACATCTGAAGAAAATTAAAGTTCACTGACCATCCGTGTCTTATTATTGAAGGCCTAATGAACAATCTGGAGAACGATGCTGCACGTAAAATTTCAGTTCATTTCCTAGAAGGATAAAGTTATAAGCAAAACTAACTCTTTGAGGGGTGAAAGAAGATAAGTTTTGTCTCGTCTCAGATTGAATCCACTCTCTCTTTTTGTGCATGTAAAGCTGTAACTCCCGAAGCCGATTTAGTGGCTTCATGAATAGCATTTGCCAAATAAAATAACCATCATTGATAGCATTGGCAGAGTCCGCACCACGCGAGCACCTGCAGCCGCCTATGCTGGCTCCATTGGTATAATTTCTTTTTGCCATTCTCTAGTTCGAGGCTTCAATGAGTGTGTATAAACTGAAGAAGATATGACCGACTTGAATACAAAATTGTTCATTGGTATTCCAAATTTTTCCACAGCCACTGGCTTGAAGAGGTCCTAGAATGGCTGTTATATTTCCTGTGATTTGCTGAAAATTCTAGAAACAACAAATATGAAAATTGCAGAGCCATTGAAGAATTCTCCGGACAAAGGAAGTCGATAATTCCACCGACCTTTCTGCCTATATATATGAGTGTGTATTTTCTGTATGTACACGAGAAAGAAAGCATGAGCGATGCGAGAAACATAGAAAGTTAAAAGGAAGTGAGAAACAGAGAGTAAGAATAATTTGGTGTTGTCTTTGTTAAATATGAAAATAGTGAGGTAGTTGGAATAATGAAGTCACTTTATTTGGTGTATAAACATAAACTCTGTTCAGAGGTTTTTTTAAGCTTTGATGCAGCATGAATTCTTGACCTGTGTGTTGCTTGGCATCTTGGCTACCTCCCCAGAGTCATTTATCATTAATATTATGCTGTCTATGCCATTACCAAGAAGTGATGAAATCATTTTTTCGTAAGTATTCATAAATTTCCAAGTTTTCTTGTATCTATTTAGTTTCACTTGAGAATGTAGAAAAATTACAACTATGATCTATTTTCATTTTCCTCGAAGAATTCTACTTCAATGGCAGATTCAAAAGAATTTTTTATTATTATTCAATTAAATATTCATAAACAATCTCGATATTGTGATCGTTAACGGTTAATGGTCAACGACCGTCCTAGCTCACTCAGAATCTTGGATCCTTCAATGATTGCCCACAGTGACTCAAGCCATACTTGGTTAATATATACATATCAGCAAAATTGCAAGACTTCAAAAATCAATAAGAAAATGGAAAATTTAGCAAAAATACTATAAATAAGAAGATATGTTACCTAATACGACTATTACGAGTCATGTAAGTGCGAAATTCCTTTGTCAAGCAATCAACTTGTTCAAGCATCATCCCACTATAGTAAAACATCCTAATCTGTTCATAATAATAATAAAAAAAATGATTGTAGAATTTATATCGATAGCATTTCAAGAACATAAACAAAACGGAAAAACCTGTTTGGTTATGTGCTCCCACGAAAGGGGCGATTGCGAACCTAAATGTTCAAGGCTTTCTCGTGAAGCGCTTCTCATTCCTGATGCGATCAGCCATTCCCTGGAGCGAGAGCTATCTACTAGTTCTTTAGTCAGGTTTCCTTTTGAGATCAGCTTTATCTTGTTAATAAAATCAGCAAGACCCCTCACATTATCAGTTCAATTTTAATTGGTTACGGTTAAGATTATGACTTATGAGACATGAGCAGGTGAATGGGCTAGATGATTCTAGTGGTGATAAAGTGCCATGTGGTGCAGGAGATGAGCTAGATGATCGTTGTGAAGGTCGTCAAGTTAATGAGATAAGCCACATTGTACGATATAAAATATTTTAAATTTATTTTATTTAAATAATTCATTAGTGACTACAGAAGTTCATAAAATTATGCATAATTTTTTACCAGAATTGCATCACTATCATCTTGTTTCCTTCCCTTTCTTACTATGATTGGAAATTTCATTTATATTATTTCAACATTCATTTGCTTAAATTATTATTTTTAATTTGTATATTTCAAAAAAGCTTATTTGTACTAATAATTTGCTGCTTCTTTGTATTAATGACTGGTGTCAATGGCAAATGAAGAGGATAAGAACAAAAGGTAACAGTATTCTCGCATAATGAAGATAATTTATGGTACCAAAATGTTTTCTTACGCCACCACATCTTACAGTAGATTAACCGAATTACTTTGCAGTACAGATTTTGTGGCTCAAAATGGCTATGACACACTACATCACAACTTTGGAAGCCAACATAGCTTAAAAATCTTCAGAATGATAGCCAAGGTTCCTGCAATAGCAATATATAATAAGCCTTAAAGATTACTAGTAAAGAAGAAAATAGATTTTGATTCAAATAATCATTATTTTTTTATTTTTTTTCTGTTCTCAATAAGAAGCAAACATGTTGTCTTGTTCGACCTGAGTTACGCTTTAACAAAATTAAATTTTGATCTTCTTGAGCCTTGTTACAACATCTTTAGCAATGGGCCTCTCCTCTAGCAAATCAGTCGTGCATTCTAGTGCTAGTTCCATGATTAATTTGAAGCAACTCTCCTTACGTGCATTATTTCATCTGGGAATGATTCAAGCACCCATTTCCTCATTGTGAACT